AATTAATTCAAGATGAATTAAAGACTTAAATGTTAGCCCTAAAACCATAAAAACCCTAGAAGAAAACCTAGGCAATACCTTTCAGGACATAGGCATGGGCAAGGACTTCATGTCTAAAACACCAAAAGCAGTGGCAACAAAAGCCAAATTGACAAATGGGATCTAGTTAAACTAAAGAGCTTCTGCACAGCAAAAGAAACTACCATCAGAGTGAACAGGCAACCTACAGAATGGGAGAAAATTTCTGCAATTTACTCATCTGACAAAGGGCTAATATCCAGAATCTACAAAGAACTCCAACAAACTTACAATAACAACAAAAAAACCCATCAAAAAGTGGACAAAGGATATGAACAGACACTTCTCAAAAGAAGACATTTATGCAGCCAGTAGACACATGAAAAAATGGTCATCATCACTAGCCATTAGAGAAATGCAAATCAAAACCGCAATGAAATACCATCTCACACCAGTGATCCTGACCTTGCAGTCCACCTGCCTCAGCCTCCCAAAGTGCTGGGATTACAGGCATGAGCCACCACACCCAGCCACAATGTATTATTTTTTATAAAGGAATTATTTTAACAGGTTTACTAAAGCATAATTTATATACTACACAATTTACTCATTGTATATATAAAATTTAGTGATTTCAGTAAATTAATAGATTTGTACAATTATCACAACAATCCAGTTTTATAACATTTCTGTCACGTTCAAAACTTCTCTATTTATAGCTAATTTCCACTGGCACTCCAAGTCTTATGCACCCAGGGATCTGCTTTTGTGTCTATAATTTAACTCTTCTGGGTATTTTAAGTAAATGAAATCATACAACATGTAATCTTTTGTGTCCAGTTTCCTTCACTTAGTTAACATTATTGAAGTTCACCAGTTTTGTAGAATGTATCATCCTTTTGTTTCCTTTCTTTTCATTCCTTTTTATTCATGTTGTCTTTTTTCATTTGTGTAAATATATAAGGTACAAGTGTAGTTTTGTTACCTGTATCGATTGCATAGTGGTGAAGTCAGTGTTTCTACAGTATCCATCACCCAAATCACAGGCATTGTACCCATTAAGTAGTGTCTCATCATCCGGAGTGCAAGGGCTGAAACTTGCCTTGGCAAAACTACCTTCATGTTCGTGGTATCTCCCCTGCCAGATAAGTCTGTTTTGCTTCCCTTTTATTGTTGAATGATATTGCTTTGCATGGATGTACTACCATTTTTTTATCCATTTACTAGTTGAAGGACATTTGGATTGTTTTCAGTTTGGGCCTGCTGTGGCTAACGCTGTTCTTGAACACATATCTTTGTGAGGACATATGTTTTTATGTGTCTTAGGTAGATTCCAAGGAGTGAAATTGATGGGTCATATGGCAAAGCATATTAAACTTTTTAGGAAATTGCCAAGTATTTGTAAAATTTCCAGGTGTTTGTAAATTATACGTTCCCACCAGTGCCACATAAGGTTTAGAAAGTCTGTTTATCTTCAAACATAATTATAATGTTGATGATACTATTAGACATAACATCTGTCAGCCCCATGCGGTGGTTCATGCCTGTAGTCCCAGCACTTTGGGAGGCCGAGGCAGGCAGTTCACGAGGTCAGGAGTTCGAGACCAGCCTGCCCAACATAGTGAAACTCTCTCTCTACTAAAAATGTAAAAATTAGCCAGACATGGTGGTGCACACCTGTAATCCCAGCTACTCAGCAGGGTCAGGCAGGAGAATCACTTGAACCCAAGGGTCGAAGGTTGTGGGGAGCCGGGATTGCACCACTGCAATTCAGCCTGGGCAACAGAGCAAGACCCCATCTCAAAAAAGAAAAATAAATAAATAAATAAATAAATAACATCTGTCTTGTTAATTTTGTATTTTCTCTTTATGTTTCAATTTTTATTTATCCAGGATCTATTTAGTGAAAGAAATGAGTTTAGAATACAACTTACCAAAAACTGAAACAAAATCTCAACTTGTTCTAATTTTAGACTCTGTTTTATTAGCATATTTAATGGAAAAAATCAGTAACAGATGCTTTTTTAAAAATAAATGTTTAGTGTGTTTTAAAATAGCACCTTATAGAGCTAGTCATTCTTTATTCTGCTTTTTTCAAAAATTTCCCTAGAAAATATATTTACCTCACAAAATAACATGTCAGCATACCTAAATGAGTTCTAAAAACAATCCTTTTTGCTTGCTTTTTTAAACTGTAATTGAGTTAATGGCTGACATTTAATACTCAATGTATGCATATTATATACGTTTTTAATACATTTATTTTTAAATATACCCATAATAAATATTTATGTATTTAAAAAGACCCAAAAACCCTGAATTAAGGATGCCCCTCAGGAATCTCTAGGCCTCCATGTGGAAACTAACTACAAATACTAACAACCTAATAGTACTATAATCTTTCCTTTCCGTACCCTGAAATCAATCTCCTACTCCATCCACCATTTCTTTATTTTTAAAAATATATGATTTTACTCCGTTTCTTCCCATGTGCATCAGGCCCACTCTGCAAAGGTTGAATCCTGGCTTGTCTGAGCCCATGTGATCCCACGGTCATTCCAATGTGTGAGAAAGTGGGTACTGGGAACACTCTAGAAACAGTTTAGTTGATCCTTATGAAGACACACAGGAAAAAGTCATATCCTTTTCCTGCCTTTGGGAGTTGTTGTGAAACAATAAGAAACCTAAAGCTGCCGCGGGGGTCCTCCTACCACCTCAGGAAAGCTGATGTGCTGTGTGTGACAGGGATGAGCTATGAAGTTCCAGGATCACTACTGATGCCCGTGGCCTCTTGAGTTGAGGAACCCTGGAGATGCCCAGCGTTGGATCTACCGGGAATGTGAGATAACGGATTAAAGGAAAGAAAAGTCCGCTAGATGGGATTTCCTGCTATTCGCAACAGAAGCATCTTCATTCAAATATTCATCCCACACATTTTAGTTCTACCTTAGAATTCCACACCACAAGTCTCATATAAAATGAGAGAAATCATTTCCTAAACTTAGGGAACAAAGCAAATTTGTTGCGACTCTGGAATCAAACAGAATAGACATAATTATCAGCTTAATATATTCCTATAGGATTTATATTCTTAGAGGATTTATACATACATGCACTACCATGTATGTACAATAACATATAACTAAAAACAAAATATGCATAAACATTTGATTTGATTGAAAATAACAGTTATCTCTGACAGTACAGAAATTATGCTCAAATGATTATTACTTTGAAGTAAACTTTTGAATTGATTATGTACTTTCAGATTTGATATATTTGATGCTGACTCTCAGATAGAACACAATGGAGAACCCTCCGTCTTCTAAATTTGCCTTTCTCTGAAATCTGTGCAAGTCCTTTGATAATACTATATTATTGAAGTCTCTGGAATGAAAAACTATATACTAATTTAAAGGTATAGATTCAGAATATTGTAGGCGGGGTTAAGAAAAAGTTCTGATGGACTTGCTGGCTGGTTTCTCATCTCATGTTTGCTGAGTTTGTTTCAGTTGTTATAGTCTGTTCTCAGTTTTTATGCACTGCCTTCTTGAATGTTAGGCTTACTTTTTTAATTGACAAGTAAAAATTGTATAGTGTATTTATGTTGTACAGCATGAAGTTTTGAAATATGCCTATAGTGTGGAATGTCTAAATCAAGCTAGTTAACATGTGCATTTACCTCACATACTTACTATGTACACATGAAAACCATTATTCTATTGGGAAATAATCTTCCCTTTTTCTTATTTCCAGTCTTTGCAGCCAAATGGACCAGATGATTTTTAACTCCAAGTTTGAGAAACATTTAATAATGTAATGTATTTGTGGCACAGGGGGAGTACAGATGCATGGGAGGCAGGAAAATTTAGTTAAAGGGAAGCACAAAAGTTGAATATGAGGCACTGCCATCAAGGCTGTGGGGCTTCAAGCCAAGAACAGGAGCTGAAGAAGCTACGAGGGAGGACATTTTCTGCAGAGTTGCTGAACCAGTAGCAACCTGGCCCTGAGAAAGTTCTTGCGGAAGAATAAGAGGTTCAAAAGAGGGACAGCCTCTCCTGCCTGGCAGGCGTGACGGTTTCTTCAGGAGGTACCAGTGTTTCTAGAAGCTATTACGGGGCTACCCCCAGTGAACCATGCTGATGGAGATGAGAACATGGAGCAAATGAAAATAGGATGTGGGAGAGGAGAAACCTGACACTCAGGGATTAGCACCCCTTCTTGGTGGGTGAGAAATTCATGAAGTCAGAAAGCTGCTCACTCCATTCCACTGTGAGAGGGCCCATCACGCTTGAGTTCTCAACTTGGCAGGTGTAAACCTCTCCACTCTGAGGAACCGTTTCCAGCAACACCAGGGTCTGGAAGGTCCAGTCTCCATTCTGGATCAGGCCTGTGGACACCACCCCAGCTTTCTCTTCCTGGCCATTCCGGAACCACCTGACTTCAATGCTGCCTGGATAGAAACCATTCACAGAGCAGACCAGGAGATTGTGGTGCTGCAGAGGCTGGGACTTTGAAGGATACACAGTCACCTTAGGTTGGACTAGGACAAAAAAAAGGTAGAGAGAATGAATCAGGAAGTTAGAGTCTCCTTGTTTGACTGTTTGCTTCTCTGTAAACCCAGATTCTGACCTTGACCAGGCCTCCAGTACAGCTGGCCATGTGACCTCACAGCATCATCAGTCTGGAATTTAATCTTGATAGTGTGGACCTATTTGATTTGAGAGATGTTATAAAAATTGTACTTGTTTCTTCATAGCTTGAAATTGGCATGCATTGTCAAAGTGTTTACAAATCTTTGAAAGTACAGCCTGTAGTAATTAAAATTGATTTCTGAGCCAGGTTGCCTGGTTCAAATCCAAGGTGTGCCTTTTACTGGTTGATCCTGGAAGAGTTTTTTGATTCTTTGGGGTCTCATCTTTCCCACCTATAATGTAGGTTAATTATACTAATTTACCTCTTGGGGTTATATGAGGATTAATTTACATAAAATATATAAAACAATGACTGAAGATAGCCATTAATTTATGAGATCAGAAGCTTCTCACTCCATTCCACTGTGAGAGGGCTCCTCACACTTGGGTGCTCCACTTGGCACCTATTTATCATCCTCTTACACCTTGAGAGAAGAATATGCTTTAAAACAATGTGGATAGATAAAGGGACAGAGTAGGGTACATGCGGAAACCGAGTATGGATTTTTAGGAATACTGCCGCCATGCACTCACACCTTAGAACACCACAGAAATGGTTCTGACCCGGGAACATGGGACAGACAGAAATGATTCACCAAATCTTTATATTCCTAGAAAATCCTGAGATTTAGGAATTAAGGAACGTCATTTTAGTTTTGAAAGTTCTTATATTTACATTTAGGTGATCAATGCATCTCCTGTGCAAAACAAGCAGAAATGATTCTCCAATTCTTTTTTTTTTTTTTTTTGAGATGGAGTCTTTCCTGTCGCCCAGGCTGGAATGCAGTGGCGCCATCTTGGCTCACTGCAACGTCCGCCTCCCGATTCAAGAGATTCTCCTGCTGCGGTCTCCGGAGTAGCTGGAACTACAGGCGCATGCCACCATGCCTGGCTAATTTTTTGTTTTTAGTAGAGATGGGATTTCACCGTGTTAGACAGGATAGTCTCCATCTCCTGACCTCGTCGTCCACCCTCCTCAGCCTCCCAAAGTGCTGGGATTACAGGCGTGAGCCACCACGCTCGGCCGATTCTCCAAATCTTTCTCCTAGAAAGGCATGAGTCCTAAAGCAGCGAGAAGGATTAAGGAAAGCCACTTTAATTTTGAAAGTTCTTATATTTACACTTAGCTAATCAATGCATCTCCCGTGCAAAACAAACATAACTATTATTAGACCTATCGTTGTAAACTGAGTTTTTTTTCAGAAGGACGTTTGGATCAAGGCAGGGTCTGGGACTCATTACTTGGGGTGCTTATGCCCAGGAAAATCCCTGACACTAGCAGACTCTCAATGATACAATTTTTTGTGAGAAGGAAGGAGAAACCTGGAGACAACAATACCACAACATGGTAGATTTAAGATTGATTGTAAATCATTAATAAAAATTTGCAATATATTTTATTAAATAAAAATGTTCAGGCCGGGTGCAGTGGTGCAAGCCTGTAATCCCAGCACTTTGGGAGGCCAAGGTCAGGAGTTTGGTCTGAGAACAGCCTGACCAACCTGGTGAAACCCCGTCTCTACTAAAAATAGAAAAATTAGTCGAGCGTGGTGGTGCCTGTCTGTAATCCCAGCTACTCAGGAGACAGAGGCAGGAGAATCACTTGAACCCAGGAGGTGGAGGTTGCAGTGAGCCGAGATCGCGCCACTGCACTCCAGCCTGGGCAACAGAGTAAGATTCTGTCTCAAAAAAAAAAACAAAAAACAAAAAACAAAACCCGAAAACAAACAAACAAACAAAAAACGTTCAAATCCTTAACATGGAAAAGAATTTTCAAAATCAACATACAAACCACAAACTGGAGAAAATACTGAATAAAATATCAAGAAAGTGTTAATAATTTTACAGTACAAAGAATCCGCAAAGTCACTGAGAAAAATGCTAAGCCCTAGAGATAATAGACAATAGATAATTGTCCATTACCTACCAAATACAATAGGGAATTCTTTTTTTTTTTTAATTTATTTATTATTATTATACTGTAAGTTGTAGGGTACATGTGCATAACGTGCAGGTTTGTTACATATGTATACTTGTGCCTTGTTGGTGTGCTGCACCCATCAACTCGTCATTTACATCAGGTATAACTCCCAATGCAGTCCCTCCCCCCTCCCCCCTCCCCATGAT